TGGTAACCTCTCTCTCTCTCTCTCTCTTTTTTTTGATTCAAAAGGGAAGTTATTCTGCACAGCTGAACGAATTTGGAGGTAGTTAGCAGGCAAATGATATACCCACAGGAGCCAGAGATCAGAAGCTCTTTCCCAAGGACCACACAGGGAATCTGTTCGGCCCTTAGAGTGGGCTCAAATTCTCCTTCAGTCTCCCACTGGGTTGCCAAAGGTACGGAATTGTAGCGTCTCTGGAGAGTGCTCACGTGAATTCCGTGAGTTCTCTCCCCCACCGTCTCTTTTTTCACAGTCTCAGTTCAGTAGCACCATAAATTTACTAGGTCCTAATCTCCTGTTAATTCGCCCCACCCAGAGTCAGGTTTTACTGCTAGGCTCAGGGCCGGTGCAGACCTGAGGTCGCTCTGCTTATGACGTATTTCCAAGATGGCGCCTGCTCTTTGTCTTGCTCGCCCTTGAGAGGTGAGCGGAGAGAGAGAAACCCGTGTCCGTACCAGTCACCTTTTTTTTTTTTTTTTCCCTCTCTCTCTCTTCCAGTTAGCTTGGTGAAGTCCCCCCCGCCCCGGGGGTCATTCCCTCTAGTCTCCTCTCTCCGCTTGCCTGCCGGTGTCTCGGGTTATTGAGGTTCGGCTCACCTCGCGTTCCAGCGCTGGTGTGTTGAGTCTGCCGCTGGTGTCCCGAACTGTGGGCTCCCACGCTCTCCACGCAGGTCTGCTCCCCTTCCAGCGCCGATGTGTGGACTCGGAGCCCTGGACGTCCCAAGTCTCCCCGCTGTTGCACTCCCCTTCGAGCACTTGCGCGCAGACCCTGTAGCTTGCGCAGCTCAGTCCCGCGGCTCGGCTTCCGCCCAGTGAGTTCTTTAATATTTTAAGATGGTAATAAGAGTAGGCAGATTGAGGACTTTGCATACCTTAAGAGTTACCAGTCTGTATTCCTCATTTAGTTTCATAACAGGCAGAACAGGAGTATTACTAGGAAACTGATGTGGACCTAGGAGTCCATGCTTGAGAAACTTACCAAAAGGTTGAAGTCCCCTGTGGGGAGCAACTCGGACTAGACTGTTACTGGAATTAAGACTTATTCTATGCATCTGCTCTCCCACAATATGGCGCTAGGAGAGGAGGAAACAGCTTCTACACAGCTGCCTCCAGTTCAACCAATGAGCAGCAGGACCTGCTCCTGATTGGAGGAGAGCAGCGTGCTCGGCGTGTGGGCAGCAGAGTTGGGATTGGTGGAAGAGGACTAGAAAGGAGGAGAGAGACAACGTGCACCTGGAACATCTGAGGGGAACATCCGGATGGCATCTGATCAGCCCCTGAGAGAGCCGGCCAGCGGTGTGCCGCTCCCCCGCAGAGGTGGGGAGGGTGGCGGGGGGAGCCGCCCTTCTACGGAGGTGGAGGGATCGGCAGCCAACCCGGGAAGGACCAGCAGCAAGCCCGGGAAGGGCCGAGCAGACAAAAGAACAGCGCAGGGTCCTGTGTCGTTCCTCCGTGAAGAGGGGGAGCGACAATCCCCATCTTGCTTCTGGTTTTATGGGATACTGACAGTGATGACAGTTTTATTTTTTAAGAACACTCTGATGGGCATAGCATGTGTAGCCTGTCAAGACATTCCCTTATCTCAGACATGAGGATCTACTCTTTTGTTTCAATAGGAGGAATATCCAAATTGAGGTCTGCCTCAGTGATGGCTAGCATCATAACAAATGACTTACACTCAGGAGTAATTAGCTTGAGGGAACCACTCAGGGATGATAGAAAATCCCTTCTAAGCAAAGAATTTGGGCTTCAGACATCATCAACAACTGGTGAGAGATAGGAATATTCTCTATTTGATACAATAAGGGTAAAGTAAATTCTTGATAGTGAGGTTTACCATCAACTCCCATAATAATACAACTCTTTTAGGATAAAAGTCCAGTATGAGAAGTTAGTACAGAGTAAGCAGCTCTCCTGTCAATTAAGAAATCAAAATGTTTCTCTGCAATTTTAATAGTCTTCTGGGGCTCTTGGCATGAGAGCCAACTTGAGTCCCGAAACCCCATCAGTCCTCAGATAAAACTTGAGTGGAGTGGGGGCGGCACCTTACTCCCTGTAGAGAAAAGAAGGGGATAGTTCTGTTTCCAATGACCACTTTTCTTGCACTGGGGCATTTGACCACAAAGGTCCCTTACACCAGAACAGTTTTGTGCCAATTGCCTGGTTTTCTACATCTAAAGCATCTCCCTGCTATGGGAGGATGCCCAACTGGCTGACCCTGAAGTTGCCACAGGTTGTTACAGCCATTGGCATCCTATGAGCCTGATGTTTGCACTGCTTCCCATATTGGAGTATCCTTTCCTCTCCAGACCCATATCTATGTTAAACACTCAAAATACTATTTTTACCAATTGTTTCATGGGGTTTTAGTTCCTATGGCTAGTTTTTGAAAGTACCCTTAGGAGTGAGTCCGTAGGAATGGAGGCAGAACTATATACACAGCTAAAAAGTCTCTGTAGAATCTGAAAATACAAAAGTAGACATGTCTCTGCAAGCACAGTTATGTTTAAGCATGTGACTTGAATTCCTTGTATTAGAAACCTGGCATCTCAGAGTCTCCTGTTTGCACCCCAAGGTGAGCCTCCCTATTCCACCTATTTGGGGGCTCCCCTACAGGTTGATTTAGATCTGGGGTATTATCATTACCTGATACCCTTTACATTTTCCCTACCACTGCACCTAGTATACTGGCCACTGGGTGGGGAGGGTGGTCAGGCACTACTGCAGCTGATGTTCCAGTCTACCTGGAGGCAATTATGTGTATGATTGGGTTTTTTCCCCTAATGAGCTTGATAGCTGTCACCACCACTGCTATAGATTTTGCCCTCTGAGTGGTCTTTGTACTTCATGTCTGGAGGCCAAGTTTCTCGGTGATAGAAAACAGAGTAAAGTTAAGACCAGCTGTAACACTTTCACTTAAACTGTGAAATTTCAGAACCCCAAATATTTCTGGAAGCTTACACTGCTGCTTCTTGGGTATGCAACCCCTAGGGGACTGTTTAATGTCACACTTGGAGTCTGCTCTAGGCTGGTGTCAGTGTCCAAACATCTTCAGATGTTGGAGCTGAGAAATTCTAGCTTCATATTTCTCAAAGCTCACTGCTGCAGTGAGGGAGGATTGACTCTGTTTGGAATATTAGGTCCCATGTGGCTGAAGAAGCCACATTCATATACCAGGAACCAAGATGGCATTTTAAATCTGCCTTCCTCATTATTGTCAGTAGTCCCAGAGCAGAGGGGTTACAAAGGCTATGAAAACCCTCTCTAAAGTGTGGGTAGGCTGGCTGTTGTCAAAGCATGGATGGCACTGAACCATTCTTCCTGGCAATGAGGGCCAAAGGAGAGAGCTCTACTTTTGATAGATAAGTTAGTCCTGTCCCCTCGGTTGCCAGATGTGACCACTACATTATAGGGAATCTCTCTTCACCTTTCACCCTGCTGGTAAGCACAGGGGAGGGGAAAGGAGCCATGCGGTGAGTAGAAGACAATATGCAGGACAAAATCAGGTTTGCAACATGTTATCCAGTAGTTATGGCTTCATGCTAAGAACCCTCCTGTCCCATACCAAACACTAGTTCTAAAAATACATTGCCTCCAAAAGGTGCTTATTCAAACACAATGTTTCTAGCCCATGGTTGGTTTCTAAGAATTCTCATGAATTCATTTGTACAAGAGAAAGAACAAAAGCATAAACACTCCTGTTTCAAAACCTCTCCAGAGACTCCAAGAACAGTGAGAAAAAGAAAACTGCGTAAATTGACCAAGAAGTTTCTACCAACAACCTTTTCCAAAAGATATGAAAAGACTCCAAGTGAGGTTTATTCAATTACTGCCATTTTGGAGTTATATATTCCTGGCTGGGCAAAGAATGTATTAATTTTTAATATTGGTTCTTTTCTCCCTTCGAGATGGAAATACTAAGCAGGGATTAGTATTGTGTACAAATAGGAACAGAGTTTATTTGGCAGTGAGTGAATTGTGTACTACCCTATACAGAGAAACAAAATGAATGGGTCAGCTAGGGAGAGAGAAGGGAGAAACTGAAAATGGTGTCTGTAATTCGGAATGTCTGTCCAAGAATAGGAGGGTGGGGGAATGTAAATACTCCGAGTGCTTAAAATATGAGGGTAGTACATCTAAGGAAGTCCAAGGTAGAAAGAAACTACTCTCTCTTGCCTTCCACCTCTTTTTATCTTATAAACGCCCTGGTCCCACATGCAACAGATGCATCATGGGGAAGTGTTCATTTTAATTGACAAATAGGAGGGTACATGGGGTGGGGTCAATAACTTGTGACTTTGAGCTCTGCAGACCTCTAGCTGCCTGCCTATCACATATCAATTCTAGTCCTATGAATTCTAATTATGAGGTTAGGTGAATCCCCAAGTAATGGTTAGCCTATTAAAATGCTCATATCCACAGCTTTTGCAGAGTAAAGTCCTACCAAGGACTCTCCAGGTAAGGTGGGTCAGTGTGGACAAAAGCATGTGAAAATAGCAGAGCTATTAGTGACATTTATTTTTGTGTTTACTTTTTCCAGGAGGGAAAGTTCTCCCCTCCACGCTTCTTGATTGCATTAGTCAAGGTTCTTCAGAATAAAAGAACCACACACACACGTGAAGATATTTATCACAAAAAGTCAACTCTTAATTTTGGAGGATGGTAAGTCCTGTGATCTTTTATCTACAAACTAGAGCCCCCGGATAGTTGGTGCTGTCATTCTATAAAATTCTCGAGGTTTGAGAACCAAGGCAGCTCATGGTGTTTCAGTCTGAGGGCAAGACAAAACTGATGTCTCAATTCAAGGAAGTAGGCAAAAAATGGGCAAATTCTTCTTACCTCCACTGTTTGCTCTACTCATGACCTCAAAGGATTGGCTAATGTCTAGTAAAATTGCCATCTGTCTTACTGAGTCAGCTGATCCAAATGCTAATATCATTTGGAAACACCTTTATAGACACACCTGGAAATAATATTTAGCCCAATATCAGAGCACCTCATTGTCCAGAAAAGTTTACGCGCAAAATTAACCGTCACACCAAGGCTTCACAATGGAGCATGTATATTAGGCCATAGCTTCTCATACTACCTCTGGTGCAGGACCAGTTTGCTTCCCACACTGTCCCATCCACTGTGGAATGATGCTTGTATAAAATACAGTAAAAATGAATCACTGGCTAAATGACACATAAATCAAAGACATACAACAAACAAACCTCAATTTTTTATCATTAGATTCAGTTACTCCATCAAATTGCCACTGAGTTTTCTCACTATTCTCAATTTCTGTACTTATTACACATAGTAACAAAGATGTGTAGGCAGGCAATAGCCCATGGATAACACTCAAGAAGTAGCCTGACTTAGATAGGCTAATAGTATCTCCAGGTACCATACTATTTAAGAAATGTTCTTATTTCAAGAATTGTCCCATGCATCTGGTGTGGGGCTTCACCTGGGAATTCTGACACAGTGATTCTTTTTTCTGGATGCATGCTATCTTGGACCGTAAGAGACATGGCCTTAACACTGAGAAAGCAGAACCGAGGGATGATGAGTGAGAAGCTGGATCTACTCCTACTTTATGGAGAAACATAAGCCGTAAACCGAAAATTATGCTTAAGACATAATTCATCTGGTTTTCTATTACCAGTAGGAGAATGAGTCCTATTAGATACAGTGATTAATTTGGGCAATTTCCTAGGAACTCTAACCAGCTTCTTTTTGCCAGCCATGTTTCTAAAACAGATCTGGGTCTGCTACTCTCTTATTATGAAAAGCTTCACTTCCAATTCCCCTTTAGACAAAGTCCCAGCTTCTTGAACCATCATCCAAAATCTTTCATAATTGGACCTTTCTATTTTTTAGCCTTATTTTTTGCTCATTTAATTCTCAGGCACATATCCAAAGCTTTATTATGACCAGGTATTAGCTTTGAAAGATGTCATAGATGTGCTCATGCTCTCTCTGCCTGGATTACACTTCTGCCTTACACATTCTTTTCAGACTTACTAGGAATAAAACCTTGAGAATATAAAGTGTTCACTTTTTTGAAATGTTACACACAAAAATCACTCCTGCTGATTAAAGGGCTAAATATCAGTGTTGGGAGCAGGGAAAATTGGTGCATCCAAATATTTGATAGAAAGTTTTTTTTTTAGACACAAAAATTCTCATTTCATGGAAATTTTAAAACTCTCATACTACAAAAATTTCAGAGATCAACAGGCTTGGACAATGTATGACTTTAATTAAAAATGAAGAAACAAGAAATAAAAACATGTGCACACAAAAGCATGTGCAGGAATGTTCATGACAACGTTTTTCATAATAGCCAAAGATGGAAACAGTCTACATGTTCTTCAGCTAATCAGTGGAGAAACAAATGTGATCTATCCATACAATGGCGTATTATTTGACTGTGAAAAGAGATGAAGTATTGAGACATGCCACATGTGTGAACCTTGAAAACACTGTACTAAGTGAAAGAAGCCAGACACAAAAGGACACATATTGCATGATTCCTTCTGAAATATGATTCCATATGAAATATTATTCCTTATGAAATGTCTAGAATTGATGAATCTATAGAGACAGAAGGTATATGAGTGGCAACCTAGGTTTGGGGAGAATGTAAATATTGAGGAGTGGAGGTTAAAAAGAACAGGTTTTCCTTTCAGAATGATGAAAATGTTCCAATATTCACTATGGTGATGGACAGATGACAATGGGTATGCAAAAAGATACAGAATTGTACACTTCTAGGGTGAATTTTACAGTAAGTGAATCATGTCTCAGTAGTTTAGTTCGTAATAGCTTCATTCATAACTGCCAAAATGAGAAGCAACCAAAATGTCCTTCAGTAGATAAATGAATTAACAAAGAAGTATATTCAGAAAATGAAATACTATTTTCCACTAAAAATGAGTTGTCAAATCATGGCAAATATGGAGGAAAGTTAAATGCCAATTATTAAGTGACAGATATCAATTTTAAAAGGCTATATACTGTATGTTTCAAATTATGTGACACTGTAGAAAAGGTAAGAGTGTGGAGACCATAAAAAAGATCAGATGGTATAAGAAATTGGTGAGGAGGGAGGGATGAATAGGCGGAACACATAGTTTTTAAGTTAGTGAAACTATTCTATGTCATTATACTTCTTTTTTTTTTCATGATGGGTTAATTCTCTCTTTTTTTCTGTTTTTTTTTTTAACTTTTATTTAATGAATATAAATTTCCAAAGTACGACTTATGGATTACAATGGCTTCCCCCCATACCGTCCCTCCCACCCACAACCCTCCCCTTTCCCACTCCCTCTCCCCTTCCATTCACATCAAGATTCATTTTCGATTATCTTAATATACAGAAGATCAGCTTAGTATACATTAAGTAAGGATTTCAACAGTTTGCTCCCACACAGAAACATAAAGTGAAAAATAATAGATGATTTTTTAAATGCTGATGAAATCAGATCAGACCTATTGTCATGTTTAATCCCAGTGAGAGTCAAGTTGGGAATTGATAATTTTTTTTTTTACAGAAGATCAGTTTACTATGCATTAAGTAAAGATTTCAACAGTTTGCACCCCCATAGAAACACAAAGTGAAATATATTGTTTGAGTACTCGTTATAGCATTAAATCTCAATGTACAGCACATTAAGGACAGGGATCCTACATGAGGAGTAAGTGCACAGTGACTCCGGTTATTGACTTTACAAATTGACACTCCTGTCTATGGCATCAGTAATCTCCCTATGCTCCAGTCATGAGTTTCCAAGGCTATGGAAGCCCTCTGAGTTCTCTGACTCTTATCTTGTTTAGACAAGGTCATAGTCAAAGTGGAAGTTCTCTCCTCCCTTCAGAGAAAGGTACCTCCTTCTTTGAAGACCTGTTCTTTCCACTGGGATCTCACTCACAGAGATCTTTTGCCAGAGTGTCTTGGCTTTCCATGCCTGAAATACTCTCATGGGCTTTTCAGCTGGATCCGCATGCCTTTAGGGCTGATTCTGAGGCCAGAGTGCTGTTTAGGACATCTGCCATTCTATGAGTCTGCTGAGTATCTCACTTCCCATGTTGGATCACTCTCCCCTTTATTTATTCTATCAGTTAGTATTAGCAGGTACTAGACTTGTTTATTTGCTCCCTTTGACTCTTAGTCCTTTCATTATGATCAATTGTGAACTGAAATTGATCACTTGGAATAGTGAGTGGCATTGGTACATGCCACCTTGATGGGATTGAATTGGAATCCCCTGGTATGTTTCTAACTCTACCATTTGGGGCAAGTCAGCTTGAGCATGTCCCAAATTATACATCTCTTCCCTCTCTTATTCCCACTCTTATGTTTAACAGGGATCACATTTCAGTTAATTTTCAACACTGTAAGAATAACTGTGTGATAATTACAGAATAAACCAGTCA